CGATTCAGAGCCGGCCGTCTTGCCGGGAGAGCGTGTCTGTTTTTCTCTGTCCTTGTTCCACTTTCCCATTTACCTTCATGTCAACTTGCTGTGTCAGCCGTTCGATTAAAACAGGCTCCGAGATTGGCGCCTTTGCAGTTGCCTGCCGCCTTTCAACTAAGAATCCTGGCACACCTCCCATCCAAGCATGCGAAGCGAGCGATATGATCCTGCAGACTCTTGGCTGATTATGTTGCTGAGTTTGCAAAGGAGTTAGTGGACACAGAGCCATAGGAAAGCAACCCAGCGGCGCTCGGAGTTGGAGTTCAAGCGATGCATCTGTATAGATCACGGAAGTGCAGGACGCCCACCTCTAGCAGAGGTGCCCCAAATATGGCCCCGTATCGTAGAGGGACAAGCAGCGGTGCCGCACTCTTGTGGCAGACCGGAGCAGGACGAAGCGGATGACATGCTCAAGGCCCGGGATCCACCTGACTTCCAACATGGCGGGCCAGATCAAGAGTCTTCTTACAGCAGGGCATTCCGCAGCCTGCCATAGAATGGACGGATTTTGCATGCCATGGGCGGACATGATTATCAGCATCACACTCTGTACTTTCTTGGATCTCTCTGCCCGTTCGTTCAGGATGACAGACCGCGATGTGGGATGTGAATGACTGTGGACTTGTGATTGCACAGGAGCGGATCGGCGGAACAAAAGAGGCTTTGAAGTCGGCGCTTTCGTTTGAAGCTTGTCTGCGTTGCTTGAACTTTGTGTCGCGTTTGCCGTCACTTGTGTGCCTAGATCAGATAAGTGATTAGTTACCTATGGTCGAAGGAAGTGATGATGCATGGAGCCAGGGGGTAGTTCCTCGTCAAGGCACTTGGTTGGTTGCAAAACGGGAAAGGTCAAGTCGCCCATGTTCCGGTCCGACATGTTGTCAAGCGACCCTGTGCGCTGCTTCTATGCCACACCCACTGCCTGTCCATAACGTTGTGCCCAAGCTTTTGGGTGGCTGCCAGCTCGTGTGCCTTTGGGCTATTACGAGTTGTGGCCGTGCTTGAATCTCAGGTTCAGTTAGTGCTGTATGCTGCAGCGTAGATTCGAGAGTGTATGATAGTCCGGCCAAGTGACCCATCTCCGTGCGGTGTTATAGTTATGGTTTTGTATACTATGCCAGTGCCGTGCTATGCCGTGAAGTCTTGCCGTATACCTTTTGCGCACTTAGATTGGTAGCCCTGGGTTTCTTGTTTACTCGTCCCGGTACGTCCGATGGTTCCGGACAGCTTTCAGTGTGTGTTGTGTTCAGGTCCAAGGCTCTAACATGAACGCGAACAACGACTAAGGATTCAAGTTCTGAGACAAGGCGCAGGCGCATGGGTTTAAGCAACTTTAAGACCATGATGAGGCTGGTGGGCATGTCTTCCAGGTCTCAAGACCGCTGGTATACTACGACCGCGCCAGACCACAGTGTGGTCTACTGAACAGCGGTATTTATCTATCTATCTGTCTACCTCTCTTTTGGCTTTCTATCTATCTATGTATCTATATGTCCTTGATCGCGGAACGGGCGGAACGTTTGCACGAAGTGGGACCCAAGCAGTGTGTCGATCGCAGCATGGGTATACCACATGCATACTATGTTATAGCCTAAACCATGTGCTATGAACGACTACACAAACGTTAACGAATAACCCTGCGGCCTCATACGTTCACATGCATAAACACACACGAATGAATAACATGGGCCCTTTCAGAGTTCTCTTTCCTGACGACCCGGGTATTTTAGGAGCCAGTCTTAGACATTTATCCACACAGATTTTGGGAAAAGCGTCCGGCAACACCGTTTGATGTAAGAAAGCCTTACGCCAAGGACACCAGACTTTGGTCTCATGGCAGTTTTGTCACCTGGAGCACCGACACTTTCTAGCTCTGAATAGCGAGGACAGTGGCTTCGTAGGCCGAATCGGCATGCCCGTGGCAGCCATCCATCCCTCAAGGTGAACGCCTCAATAGCAAAGCCTTTTCTCCCGGCATGGAGCGCGTTGCTCGCAAGATCGTGCAAGACCTCAACCCAGTCCTGGCCAACGGAGGCCAAGGACGAGGATCAACATTGGTTCACGATTTCTGATGAAACCTAGCTGGAGTTTTGGTATGCATGGTGCGAGTGTCCGTTTTTGACGACAGAGGGCCCATGAGCTGTGATTCTAGTTCCGGCTCTCGGTCGTGGTAGTGGTAGTCATCATTGTTGCTTGAACTTTCTCCACGTCCTGCGCCTGCGACTAGTCCCCACTACAACCGGAACCGTCCTATACCGCAACCGGGCCTGGATTTGTGGAAAAAGCCCGAAACCACCATATCACAACCAGCCAACAGGCTCACATTGTAATGGTTGGTTTCCAATCTGAAGGTGAACCCTTAATGAAGCACACACTCTCTCTTGAAAACAAATCAGTTGCAGTAGGTACTGCTTTTGACGAGGATGCTACATCTACTAAATCTTCGTATCGGGGTCCCGATGTTATTCAAGGCTAGACGGCAAGCAATAGACGCCGCAGAAAGCAACTGGCATTTGAAGTAAGGTCTAGGATTAGGTTTAGGGTTAAGGGTTTCATCCCACTGTTAGTAACATCAACCTGCACCCTCGTCATCACAGGCCCCTCAAACAGAAAGGAGTAGCAATCCAGTTGTGGCAAGGACCTGTTTCGATCTGTTTTGTGTAAACAGCTAGTCAGTTGTAGTAGAGTCCAGTTTCTGATTGCAGTGTAAGGCTTCTAATTTCCGCCTCCCAGCCCTCCCCCCCCCCCGCCCTGAGACGTCAGCCGCGAATATGCATTGGCTTCTTTTTCTGGCGGCCACCAGAAAAAGAATGCCAATGCATACGTGTCCGTCGTGTACAACGCGGACGGCGCGGTCGTTGGCGCAGCGAGCTGGCACGAACTGAGGAGCCACGACATCGAAATCGACGTGGCCCTCAGTGTGCGGAAAGGGAGGTTCGTGGCCGATCTGCTCGCCGGGATGGAGGTGCAACTACTCACCAAAGGGTTTTCGGTTTGTCACAACAGCTAGCCAATCCCCATCTCGTTTGGGCGTCCCAGCCTCTGTTTTTTCTTACACGGTAAAGACGGTAAAGATGTACCTCGAGAGCTTCCCCAACCTACTGGCTGTAGCCAATGGTTCCTCAAGCAACCGAGCTAGCTTTCCTTCCAGCCTGCCACCCGCGAGTTGAACTTACTGTCGAACGAACCTGTGGTGATTTGCCGGGGGGGGTTGTGTGTAGTTTTGTTGCTCGCTTCTCGCCATAGGCTTGTGGTCGAGTGATGCCAGCCGCGTTGGAGGGATTTGGGAGGGTTTAGGGTGCCTCAAGCACTGCTGTGCTTCACGTTTGAATGGCAGTTTTGCCAGGCCCGAGTGCTCCGCGGCGGCGGCAAAAAGGTTCGCCTCCTTGCCGCCGGCCGGAGCAAAGACATCTGGGAGCAGAAGCATGGCTTCGAGGTGGCCTACGGCACGCACTTGCAGAAGTTCGTGGGCTCGCCCGAGCTCCTCGGTCCACCCTACACCCTTGGACCCGGCACCCCATGACCCAAAGCTGCTGAAACCAACGTGCCCAATTCAATCAGACAACGGGAATCAGCCAAATGCAAAAGCACTGTCCGTCCGTTCGATGCCGACCGCTTGGTTGCATGCTCTCAGCTGGCACGCCCACCACCTGAGGGGAACCGCTTCGATACAACCAAAGCGACCAAGGCAGCACAGACGCTGTTCCGCAATGTTCGTTCGTTTGATTTACCCGCCGTCCGTTCGATATCGATCGCTTGATTTCATGCTCTCAGCTGGCACGCCCACCACCTGAGGGGAACCGCTCCGATACAACCAAAGCGACCAAGGCAGCACGGACCATGATCGATGCCGAACATAGTATCAGAAGCACCGTATAACGAGGCTGAACAAGACTTTTCTCTCTCAACGGTCAGTGGTCAGGGTACTGCAAGCAGCTTTGAAGGATTTTGGAGGAAGTCAAACTTGAGTCAGGAAAGCTGCGGAAGAGGTGGCGCCCACGTTGCCCAATCTTTTGCTTGGCAAAGGCCGGGGCCGATGGATCTTGGGATAACAAGCTTGATCTTGAAATCTCCATAAAAGTGCGAGAGTGCGAAAGCTCCTATAAATTTGAAGAGCGGCGCAGAAAGCTCCTCACAAGCTCACAAACTTAACAGTGTTCTGTTGAAGGCCTCATGTAGTGAGAAGAGAGCACTTTTTCAAGAGTCACTTCCTATCCTCGACCCGCGCTCAAAGGACATGCATACAAAACTGCCAGAGGGTTCCGAATTTTTCTGTTTGCCGATTTCATTCCGTCGCACCGAGCTTCGTAGTGGTTCACATAAAGCCTTTGCTGTCCCTGTTTGCTCTAGGTATTCGGTCATGCTGGATCACAACATCCCCTAGTGACGTTGCAGCATGTGGTAATCATGCATTCACGAAGCACATACAATGCTCGCATTGAAATCTCTACCCAGGGTATTGCATGCAGCTTGACGTCATCTTAGCGACACTTCAGCCGCCATGGCCGTGAAGTGGGTTTGCGTGCCTGAGCTTGGCATGGGCGGTGCCTGCTCTTCGGTGGCAGCTCGCCTTATGCTGGTTGGCGACGGAGACGTCAGAGCATGCACAAGGCAAACCTACAAAGCCCAGCTTGCCGTGCCAGGTCTCACCAGTATGCTTCTCACAAAGCTTGCTTCCAGAGGCAATCAAACGATTCACACGGCACCGCGCTTCGAGCACCTCTGCAAGGCACCTAAACAAGAAACCCTGTGTTGGCAAACTGAAGGCGGGACGACGATGTTGCTGTTTCGTGCAACTAGACTGTGGTGTTCGCGGCCAGCGAGAAGCTCGACAGGAAGGACTCTTGAATGAACGCGTTTCAATGGAGTGCATACCTGTGCCAGACAGATATTTGGTTCTGCGACCGGCTTGGGCTGACCGCCAGGATCATGCATGCCTTTCAGGAAGAGAAAGTCTTTAAATGGATCTGCAGAAGGAAGATGTCCCTGAAAGCACTTTCATCTTGGCCGACCGCACGGACGCCGGCTTTCTCTTCCAAACAGATGTGGTTTGGAGTCCCTACCCTGCGCATCAGATGAATTGGAGTGGCCTTTGTGACATGCTATCGGAGCAGCAGCTGTCACAACCGCTGGGTTTTGACCAACGAGCTGGGCTGCAGGGAATGTTCAGACGGGGGGTGCCTGGGAACCAGACTGACATGTACACTTACCCAGAGTCATGCATGATGTGCAGCAGCTGGAAGAGGGGGTGTGTTGCGTGCTCCGGGGCTGGAGCAACTCCCCGAGCCGGGGATGGTGTTGGTCGACGGGCTGAGTCCGTGTCGAAGGGCGTGCGTGGTTAAATTAGAATCTGTGGTTGGGGCTTTGAGGGTTGAAACGCTGATCTCAGCTGTCAACCCTTGTTACAAGTACTGTCAATACATTATGGCTCTTCTGACATGTCCTTTTCGTGTTCTCTTGCAGGCCCGGATATTCCATGCGCTTCCGATGGCCGGACTCATGTGCAAGAGGACCCCATGAAACAGGGGCACACGTCGGGACTGGTTATCGTAGCCATGTGTCGAAATTGTCGGGCTCCATGGTGTGAGGATGCAGGGGTGGGTTAAGAATTCCCTGTCAAACGTCTCTCATTCCACACTTAAGGGCTTGACATGGTTCAAGGTGTACAGTTCCCTGAACCCAACTTTCGTCACGCCATCTTCGAGAGTTTTGGTGTCCTGGCTGCAAAGTGGAATCGCAGAGACGTCCCAGTCAAGGGCACCGATGGCACAGAGTTATACAGAGTTCAGATTGTCGCGCTTCTGGGTTGGTGTTCATTGTCATTTGATCTGTGTGTTTGAGTTGGCTTTGGATGGACATGAGATAAGCGTGTATCATCATAGTGCTGCATCAAGCTGCAGTAAATTAGGTCAGCTTTCTCGATTCATTCTTGCTGCCTTGTGAGTGTTTCAAAATTCGTCATGGGTATTTCTGTGCTGATATGAGCGCACCGACTACTCAAGCTCACTACTCCCACACATCTAGGAGGCTAATCGAGTAGATCTGAGTTTGAAGGCCGCATGCAGTGGAACTCCACTGAAACCATGCGAATGAAACAATTAGTCCCTTTGTTCACTTTTTTTGACAGCTGCATTTCGTTTTGCATCCGGCTGTTGCGACTCCGGCGACTGAGTTTTTTACATGCTGATGTGGCGTCTTGCTATTGCGGGTTTGCCTTCCAAACGACTCGCAGTAATTCGTCGATGGACATGACAGAGCCCAGCAGTCGTACTCCGGAAGCCAACGCAATGCGCAGAGCAACGTGCTCCCTAATTCTCACTTCCCAGTCATTAAACACATTCAGTTTGTTGCCAGATCCTGTTTTGGTGGCTATGTTTCCCCGTCACGCTTATGCCTTCGAAGTGTCTTGTTATTTGCGGCTGCAGACATCCAAAACTGTCACAGTGAATTAATGAGTGCTTGCAGGATTGAGACGCTAGGAGTTGGCCATTGCTGAGTGAAGCAGTGAAAGGACCCCCAAAGCGGTTGTCTATATGTCAAGGCCATTGCCTAAATTCAACGATACATAGCTTCAATCCTTGAGACCTGCCATGCGGCAGCCAAAATAGCTTGGAAGATCTTTGAAGCACAAAGCGCCAAGACCCAGGATTTAAACGTTAAAGCGGGGCAAACCTAAACCAGAGACAACATGCAGACCCTATACACCAAGGCCTAGACCCAACACCCAGCGCCACAAAGCCATCAACTCTGTGAAGCAGAGTCCCAAGCTTTATGTCAATGCTGCTCCACCACAGCATTTGTCACGAAAGCTCTCCCCAGGGAGCCTTTTTCGTTTCAAAAGTCAGAACTTGTTCTGCCAGAAGGCTTAGGGGGTGTGGGGGGGGTGGGGGGGGCGCCCCAAAGAGGTGGCCACTCTGGGCCCGTTTGCAGCCATTCCCCGCGCTACGCAGGGATTTAGGGCTGGGCACGCCGGGGCCTTGTTTTGGCTCCAGCGGGTGGGTTCCTAGACCACCCTCCAATGGAGAAACGAGCCCCCCCATGATGCTCATGATGCTCGCCTGCCGGCGCCAATTGGGATCCCAGGATGCTCATGATGCGCTTAGCTGGCTTAGCTTCTTTGAGACGCCTAGCTTCTTCTGTGTGATCGTTGTCGTTTTCAGCGATTTTAAGATACAGGGTCTAGGGCTTTGAGTTGCGCAAGGGTTGTGTATGACCCCGTTCGTTTACTTCCGTATGCTCGTTGGAAACTGAAACAACCGTGTATGACACCATTCGTTGTCTTTTTCAGCGATTTTAAGGTACAGGGTCTAGGGCTTTGAGTGCGCAAGGGTTGTGTATGACCCCGTTCGTTTTCTTCTGTATGCTCGTTGGACACTGAAACAACTGTGCATGACACCATTCGTTGTCTTTTTCAGCGATTTTAAGATACAGGGTCTAGGGCTTTGAGTGCGCAAGGGTTGTGTATGACCCCGTTCGTTTTCTTCTGTATGCTTGGAAACTGAAGCAACTGTGTATGACACCATCCGTTGTCTTTTTCAGCGATTTTAAGATACAGGGTCTAGGGCTTTGAGTTGCGCAAGGGTTGTGTATGACCCCGTTCGTTTTCTTCTGTATGCTTGGAAACTGAAGCAACTGTGTATGACACCATTCGTTGTCTTTTTCAGCGATTTTAAGATACAGGGTCTAGGGCTTTGAGTGCGCGAGGGTTGTGTGTATGACCCCGTTCGTTTTCTTCTGCATGCTCCTTGGAAACTGAAACAACTGTGCATGACACCATTCGTTGTCTTTTTCAGCGATTTTAAGATACAGGGTCTAGGGCTTTGAGTGCGCAAGGGTTGTGTATGACCCCGTTCGTTTTCTTCTGTATGCTCCCTGGAAACTGAAACAACTATGTATGACACCGTTGTGCATGCCCCCGTTCGTTTTCTTCTGTATGCTCCTTGGAAACTGAAACAACTGTGTATGACATCATTCGTGGTCTTTTTCAGCGATTTTACGATACAGGGTCTAGGGCTTTGAGTGCGCAAGGGTTGTGTATGACCCCGTTCGTTTTCTTCTGTATGCTCGTTGGACACTGAAACAACTGTGCATGACACCATTCGTTGTCTTTTTCAGCGATTTTAAGATACAGGGTCTAGGGCTTTGAGTGCGCAAGGGTTGTGTATGACCCCGTTCGTTTTCTTCTGTATGCTCCTTGGAAACTGAAACAACTGTGTATGACACCAGTCGTTGTCTTTTTCAGCGATTTCAAGATACAGGGTCGAGGGCTTTGAGTGCACAAGGGTTGTGTATGATCCCGTTCGTTTTCTTCTGTATGCTCCTTGGAAACTGAAACAACTGTGTATGACACCATTCGTTGTCTTTTTCAGCGATTTTAAGATACAGGGTCTAGGGCTTTGAGTGCGCAAGGGTTGTGTATGACCCCGTTCGTTTTCTTCTGTATGCTTGGAAACTGAAACAACTGTGTATGACACCATCCGTTGTCTTTTTCAGCGATTTTAAGATACAGGGTCTAGGGCTTTGAGTGCGCAAGGGTTGCGTATGACCCCGTTCGTTTTCTTCTGTATGCTCCTTGGAAACTGAAACAACTGTGTATGACACCATTCGTTGTCTTTTTCAGTGATTTTGAGATACAGGGTCTAGGGCTTTGAGTGCGCAAAGGTTGTGTATGACCCCGTTCGTTTTCTTTTCAACGGTTTTAGGGTGTAGGGTCTAGGGCTTTGGGTGCACAAGGGTTGTGTATGACCCCATTCGTTTTCTTCTGTATGCTCCTTGGAGACAGTGAAACAACTGTGTATGACCCCATTCGTTTCCATTTTCGACGGATTCAGGGTGTAGGGTCTAGGGCTTTGGGCGCACAAGTATTGTGTATGAACCCCGTTCGTTTTCCTCTGTATGTTCCCTGGAGGCTTTTTCAACCGGTCTAGGGCTTTGGGTGCACAAGGGTTGTGTATGACCCCGTTCGTTTTCTTCTGTATGCTCCTTAGAAATTGAAATAACTGTGTATTCCTCAACTCCCAAACTTTAATCCCAGTGATGCTCATGATGCGCTTAGCTTTTCTGTGTACGGTCTTCACTCATGCTTACTAAGCCCATGAAGCTAGAGCTTTCGTCACCCCCCTCCGGGTCTCAAGTCTTTGTTGTGTTTCCCTGCTGGTTTCCTGTTCTTTCAAGTTTAGTGCTACATTCCATGTGGGCGTGCCACTGTTGATGGCAGTTGTGTACGTCTATGACGAAAGCTCTCACCCGGAGCGCAGGGCTGGGTTCAGTAATTGCTTCTGCGGCGTTTGCGCGAGGACAGCAGCGATTCTAAAGCTGCTGACGAGAAAGAAAAAGGCCCAATATCTGCGACTACCGATGACAAGCCAAAGTTCCAGATGTCAGCGTCTGCTAAAGCCTTCAAGCCGGGCCCTTAAAATGAAGGTGCTTCATGCTGGTGCCATTCCTGTAGTTCATGAGGCCGAGATCATACTTGAAATATCGGATTGACTTGTGTGCCCAGTCCCAACCAGCGAAGCATCGAAGAGAAAATCAGAAGCGCCGTTGAAGCTGCGCACCAGCGCCAAGCGGCAGCACAGCCACGAGGTCTCTGGGCCAGAAAAGTAAAGCCCTCTCATACGTTACACCTGTTCAATCTTCTCTCAAGGCCACGACCGGTGGGTAAATCCATGTGCCGCTTGGGGATCTGGCTATGACCAGACCGGCTACGGTTGGGCACAAGCCTACCATCCAGCTTGCAACCAAGCACCTGCGAACACTGAGTGCTACGCCTTGTCGTGGAACAACCAGATGGGCTATGCGCAGGCAGGTGTTCCATCGTGAAGGGCTGAATGGTCTGCCATGATATGCCGTGATGATTTGTCAGGGACAACATTGGCAGCAACCCCAGCAAGCCTGGACCCAGGCTCCGTTTGCGACATGCTTGATGCAATCAGCAGCCGTAGAGACCTGTCAAACAGGCAGGTGCCGGTCAAAACTGCTGCGCGACTGCCGAAGGAGCTTGCTAAGCTTGCATGCTTGTGGTGGGCAATACGACAGGGATCGCACATGTTGAGGAGCAAGTGCTACCTATGGCCTGGATTGCTACAACTACTACGGCGGAAACTATTCTGGCTATGGCGGCTTGTTGCAAATATGTGCAACTCGAGCCCGTGGCCCTCGGTATCCTAGTCCTACACCTGGCCTCAGGTCATCAGTTCCGATTCAGCACGCAGCGTATTCGAGAAATGTGTACGTTCAGTATGTTTGACATGTTTAGTCACATGTCCATCATGATTCTGGAAGACGTGAACCAGACTGCGTGGCTAAGCCTCTCACCAAGGCCAGGCCCATTGGCAAAACGCTGCATGGGGCGGCCCTGAGTAGACCTCAGGCCGGTCAGTCTAGAGTGGTGTACTTTTGCAACTTACCACTAATTACACAGATCCAGAGACTAGAAGCGCAATGCCCTGACAGAGGCTTTTTTCCGGAGGCTGTCCAGAGCAAATAGGGTTGGTGGAGGAAGAGGCAAGGGGAAGTCAAGGGACGGATGGATGAATGGACGGATCTGCGCACCGGAGTGGGGAACAGGCAAGCGCATAGGGTTGCAGGACGAGTTTTGCTTGGAGCCTGCAGTCTATTGGATGTGTGGGATTGGGCGCGCAGAATGAAGTCGCCCTGTGAAGTTGCCTCCGGCCAATGCAGCCGAAGAGGCAGATCTAGATGTCGGGCCGCAGATCCGATTGGCGTATGCGTTGAACGTGTTTTCCCATGAAAGAACACCGTGATGCACTTACTATCCTTCTGGTGGTAGAGCCTGTCCAGCAAGGGCACGGGGTTATCGTTCAGCACTTTTCGTGCCAGTTCTTCAGTCAGATGGGCCACGGTAGCCGAAATCTTCTCTAGCAGGAGATAGCATGAGCTTTTCAGCCAACACCATCTCTAGCAGGAGATAGCATGAGCTTTTCAGCCAACACCATGTGTAGCAGAGACGGCGAAGCAAAGGGGACAACAACCCGATGCAGCTCTCTAAGTGATGAGGGCACCGTACAAGCATCCCACAACAGCAAAGCCGACATGTGCGTAGCTCATGCTGAAATGCCGCAGTGGTGGCCTTGCAGCGAGCCGTGTGCGCTTCAACCTCAGTGCCAGCCTTACGTAACGGCAGTCTGCAGCATGCTGCAACCATCAGCGGCGTATACACTACAGCGAGAATGGGGCTTGGTGCCTATTGCCCGAGTGCCCATCAATGCTTGCAGGATGCGCACAAGAAGCACCTGCACTATCAAGATCATGCACGGCTCCCAGACTTTCATTCTGGGTTTCTTTATCAGAAGGTTTCCGATTATTTTGCAAGCTTCTTCAACGACAAAGATCTGGATATTTGCGTGCTGATAAGATCTTCTTGGTGAGATCTCGGTTCGTTTCCCAAATCTATACGTAACGATTTAAGACTTGTGTGTCTTTGCGCAGCTGCAAGCGCTGAGCCGCAGAGCTTGAGCGGCTGTGTCCGAGGAATCGAACTTCCAGAAGGCTTGTACCTGGAGAGGGCCAATGCCCAGCCGCTTCTGCCATTGAGCTTAATGTTGTTTTCTGCCAGACAGAGCCCAAGCTCAACCTCTCCGGGAGTGCCAAGCACTTAGCCGACCATTATAGCACCTTCGTATGGGGTCTGTATTTCTCGGGTTCAAGTTAGCTCGTTCGGCGCCCATGGCATGTGCGCTGCGTTTGCATGGCAAGCAAGTCTGATTTCCAGGTCAGCTTCCAGGATTCCTTCACTTCTCTGCCGTGGAATGGAGAGGTCAGCATGCGCCGCTCTGCTGCTGCGCCCGGAGCCTTAGAGGGCAAAGGAGTGTACCTTCAGCGGTAAAATCGTCGGCCTTGTGTAGCTTCGCTTAAAAGCCTGATATAGCTGCTGCCGTTGCAGGGAAACATCGCAGGGCTGCTAGCAACTTCTCACCGGCTGCAGTGCCTACAATTCTTACCACTATCTGCAGTCTTACTATGTCTTACTTGTCCGTTGCTATGTGCATTCATCGCTCTTAAGGCTTGAAGGGCTCCATTCCGTGTGCCGGGAGGGCAGCTCTGTGCAAGTGCTGGAGGCCTGCGGTGCATCTCCCAAACTTCGTAGTAATAGTACGTAGCAGCGAGAGCAATTGGATTAGTAACACCCGTAGGCAGTATAGGAGTTTAGTACTAGAATCAGCCGTCGTCGTCGTTGTTGTTGCTGCAGCAGAGGAAGATAGAGGAAGTGGTGGTAGTGCTACTGAGACTGTAGTGGCAGTAGTGGGAGGCACCCGGCGCCGCCGGTGGTTGTTGCTGTAGCAGGAACGCTGCTCGCATTTGGCCGCTGTTTTCGTCGGGATTGTTCCTGCATGCTGTTTGACGCGCAAAAAGTAGCGATTTGCCTGGGCGTGTTCCACGGAGCCTGGCGGCGCGTCATGGCGCGTCATCTTATTCAGAAGCACATGCTTCTTGGCACATGGTAACGTCACTGCAGTCGACACCCCAGTTTCACGGACGAGCGACTTGCATCTGTAAATGATGACCTTCCGTGAGATCGCTGAAAAGCAGTGGGTGGGTGCGAAATTCCAAACCTTACTGTAGAGCGTGGCTTGTCCGTGTGTGAGTACCGAAAAGTAATGGACACGAGTGGACGGGTGCGAAACCCGAGACTCAAAGGAGTGGTTGGCCTGGATTGTCCGAGTTGTGGAGTGTACAGGAGTGATTGGGTGCCAAACCCTTTCCCGGGAATCCTTGCTTGCAGCGATACATTTGGGCGTAATTCTGTTGTCCGCATACTTCACTCCACGGTGCTTCTCACTCGCGTGCTTTCTTCTTGACATTGAGTGTTGGTCGATATCTTAAACGGGTTCGACTGGAAATTTGCCACCAATTGCAAGATGAAAGCGGTTCGCGGCACAGTTAACGACGTTTTGTCAATCCTGCAGACATGGTGACGAACATATATTGACGATGATGGTGATGGAGAGATGGACAGTTCATAGAAAGTGGACCGAATGTCTATAGTCTGCTATATGATTTAGACGTCGTGTGTTGTAGCAGCGACGTAGTACCGATTAGCTCCAGGCAAATGGATCTTAAACTCGGAGACGAACGACACTGGCTGTTGCGTTAATGCCGTCGTGCTTGCAGCTTGAGAACGGGAGCTTGGATTTGTCGGGTTTTTGGTGGTTAAAGCATTCTCAGCTCCGCACCAGTGCATTGAAGAAGGGAGTTGAAACGTACAGGGTTCTGGAGCTGCAGGTGCGCAGCCAAGAATGACAGCGGCCCTTGCAAGTTCCCCTCCAACTTCAGGCTCCTGCCTTAGCCTTTCAGCAGAGGTGGTTTCTTGTGTTCACACCTGCAGAATCGGTGGGCTCTTGCTGTTGGGAGCAACATGATGTGATTTGCTTCTTGGTGGCACTTGGTGCCCATGATATGGGGTTTCGGTCTTGATCTCTCAGATGTCATGGGCGTTGTACTCGAGGTCTCCAGCCGGGAGGCGACTCGCTGGGCTCAGATGGTGTGACGTGGAACGAAGTGTGGTGTCAGGCCAGCATCAGGTTCCGATTCGGAACACCGCCTATTCAGGCCCAAACTGGTTGGAGCATCCACGTTGTTACGTGCATGCAATTTCGGCCGTGAGCCTGACCTCCGTTGCAGGCACCTTTGCTTCGACACGGGCATGCTGCTGAAGCGTGTGTTTCACACAGCCACGTGGCCATCGCCTCAGAAGATTTGTTTCCGCGTGCTCAGCTCGCAGCTCGGGTCTTGATTGCTGGCTTGGGCGGGATCCGTTGGATTCGGAAATGGTGCTGTCCGCCTTGTTTTGTACACCCTATCGGCACCAGTACGCGCCCAGCTTTGTACTTGCATGCACATGTCTTCGAACCTACCATCTGGGAGAGCATGCGGCTTGGGTATAAGCTGACAGACAGGCTTTCCCAGGTGTTAGGTGTTTAGGCTGACGTCGCATACGCAGAACTCGCCTCTCTCTCTTCGTGCGATGGTCTCCTGCCGGCTGCCTCTTTGCCACGGTCCTTGAACAGAAGCTTTGCCGTCATGAAGGGCGTGGGGAGCGACGGTGCTTGGCAAGTTGGCAAGGAGGAGGCCGGGAGTTCATGCCAAAACCCAGCATCTAAGAGAAATAAGCCGTACCAGTAGTGAGCGTGGTGCAAGTAGCTCAAATTCAGAGATTGCTCATCTTAGCCCAGCGTTTCGCCGAACCAATAGCTTCATGCCTATGAAGCAGCAGAAACTCACGGAAGTCGCCTTGATCAACAGTGTAGAGAGCCTTGCGCAGACGTGGGATACCGCATGGGAGACGAAGGACGAGTGCGAGTCGATGTGGTATACCAAAGAGGAGCCAACATGTGAACAGCTTGAACATCAGACTTGGGATGCCGCGTGGGAGACAAAGGAAGAGTGCGAGTCGATGTGGTATGCAAAAGAGGAGCCAAAATGTGACGAGCTTGAACATCGAGCAAATGAAAGCCGGGTGCCGGGCGAGCAGATGTGGGATGCCAACGAGGAGCCAGAGGGCGAAGTGCCTGAGCATCACGACTGGGATGAAAGGGCTGCGCAGCCTGTCATGCCTAAAGTTGAACTCGGTAGTGGCGGGCCCACCTCCACAAAGACGGAGTGCAGCTGGGGCCCTGACGTTGGATGGAGGGTTGCAGAGGTGTCCGGCCTGCTTGTTGCAATGCCTGAGGCAGCGCTTTCAAGCTCTAATATGACCTTTGAAGGCCAGCACCCGAAGACTGCAGTCTCAGACTTTTTGAAGCGCTACTGTGGCAGGAGCATCTGCAAGGACGATTTTTATTTCACATGTGAACATCACGGCGAGGGCTTCGTTGCAACGTTGAAGGCCCCTTGCTTCAACGCCGAGGCATACACTGGATCCGCGAACCCGACTGCGAAAGGCGCGGAAGCATCTGCTGCCGAACGATTCCTGCAGGATCCTGACGTCTTGCATGCAGCTGCCAATCCTCCGGAATCCATGCGAAGCATCAAGAGGCAAATGAAGAGTGACCCTGTCGTGGCAAAGCGCCACAAGCAGCAGGGCAGGTTTCACCAGCTTCGGCACGAAAGGTACAACCGTCAGGCAGACGATGGCTGCCGGAATGCTATCTGGGATGGCAGAGCTTGATGTGAGCCTTGGGCTGTTTTGCTCGCACCAGGTTCGAGATCGGCGCGTGTTGAATGTGCGAAAAGCTTACGTCACTGCAAGAATGTTTCATGGCTTTTGCATTTCTGTCTCCACGCTGAGGCCGCGGCTCCAAACATCCAGCCCGCTAGGTTCAGCTCGAGGCTCGTACGACCAGCTGAGAGAGACTGAGACATCACCTCACTCTGGCACGAGCTACCCCGGTGTCTGTTCGCTTGGGCAACTCCAGTGTGCTGGGGCCATTTTCTTTGAGCCATCTGGTCGTGGTGTGCTTTCCTAGACGGCCAGGGCTACTGCATGTTTGCGTTTGGTAAGCATGTCTGATTCTGAGGGAGTCTAGTTTCACCATGCGCTCTTGGAAGCTGAACTTGCTGACTTCGGCAAGGGCTTGCAACAACACCTAAGTTCTGAAGAGCGGGCCAAACGGTCGTTCACACTCGGGAATCGGTGGCGGCACTCCGGGATGTGCGATGGCAACAGCTCTGGAGGCCGCAGAGCGATGTGCATCGGCTTTGCAGCTTGACTCGTGGATTGGACTCCGACTAGGCAGTTTCATTATCCAGCTGTCGGGCTCACGTTGTTCAGCGCGACAGATGAAACAGTCTGAATTGCGACGACTCAATGCACTTACACCCGGAAGTGCCCGGCCGTGCTGGCGGTCCGTTGGCAAAAGATGGGCTGCATCTGGTGATAGCAGTTTCAATAGCTTGTGCCAGGAGTGACTGACTGTCTCCCTCGAGCGCATCTTTCAGACCCAGCGCCCCAGGCATGTGCTGTGTGCAAGCTCGTAGCTCGCAGTTTGATAGGTCGGAGCTCTTAACGGGCTGCATGTCGCAGTGAACACGATACATGATTTGACTTGCTGTCGAGGTCTAGGTTGCATACGCCACAGCAGACTTGATTTTGCGAAGTGTTCTTTGGTCTGATGGAAGTACTCAACTGTAGGTTCAACTGGCTGAAACTTCAGCTTTTTCTGGCAGAAGTGAGGAAGGCTGAGGAATTGCTGTGTGGCGCTTGTCCTGAAGCCTTTCTCCATGGCAGCGGACTTTGCGTCCAATGCATGACACACTTCACACGGGAAAATCGTGCAAAGTAAAGGCCGCTCGTGCTTTCACGACCCGCCGAGCGAAAGTGAGGCACAAAAAGCGAAAGCCCAAAAGCGTTGCGATGTAGGAGTCACTTCTTTTCTTTCATTTCCTGGCTTGGGACATTTGGTAGGTGCCGCTGTTTTTGTTTTCGGACTTGGGCAAATCGTAGATCTTGGAGGGGATATACTTTGCAAAACTAGAGCCTCGGCCGGCTCTTTCGAGCATGCTCTCTAAATGTCAGGGCCGAATCATTCTACCAAGTATGTCATGCAAGTATGGGCAATCGGATCTGAACAAGCGTTCGTTTGGTTGCTGATCAAGCGAGTGCACTCCTTGTGCATGATTTCTATATCTCTTCCCATCTTTCTTCTTTTCTCTATCGTTCTCTCTATTCCTCGGCATATTCTTCTCTCTAGGTCTCTCTCTCTCTTTGCTTCCCTTTCTCTCTCTCCTCCCTCTGCGCCTTTCTCATTCTCTGCCTCTTTGCGGTTACGTTATATATGGGTTTCTCGTCTGGGTTCATCTGTATTTAAACGTTCGAATGTAACATCGAATATAGTACAGTATTCCGTTTGTATGGGATTGCTAGGCATGCCCAGCTTTACTAATGCCGCGGAGCATCATACGCTGCAAAAATAATTTTAACGCTACGCCGCCCGCCTCGGCTGTTTAGCGGCAGGGCGAGGGGGCAGTCGATGTTGTATACATGCTAGGGGGGCCTCTCAACCCCAACCTTTACACGGTTGTTGATACCCAAGTGCGAGAAAAACGGGGGGCAAGGGGGGGTGGAGGGGGAGGAGGGGGGGAGAGGGAGGGGGGGGACCATGATTCACCTGAGCCGACTTGGAGTTGTTAACTGCATTGCTTGCCTTGAGGTGGCCCTCTTGACAGCTTGATCACAGTCCGCAGCCGCAATTCTCAAAGTGTAGACACATGCCCAGATCATGCCAGCTTTGCCGGGCGAGGTCGATCTGTCCGGGCCTTCAGAGCGAGGTTCAGCAAGAAATCCATCGGTGCAGCGGTTCTTTGAAGGCCCAATGGTGCCCTCCGCGTGACTCAGTGGAAGCTCCTGCAGGAGGCAGCCTCAAAGTCGCTGTGTAAAAGGCGTCACATATCAGACATATCATGACTTGCGATGTCAGGGTTACCGCGCGGGCTACCGCGCCGGCCTGCAGCACAGGCAGCCGCAGCCTGCAGTCACGCCCCTGCCCTCGCATTCGGCAGCAGCCTCAATCCAACAAGCAGTCGCCCGGCAGCCGCCCAGACTTTCTCAGACGTGTGGCAGGCTGAGGCGTGGCTGGTGCTGTTCGTGCTGGCAGCCTTCTGCTTCGTGGCTTTCAAGGCGACGTCGCGCACCAATTCGCTTTGGGTATTGTGCCAATGACGAGCGCCGCGGTTTGCAAAGGTGTGGTCCTTCAAGATCAGGAGAAGAGACCAGGACGCAGCATGTCTGATATCTACCGGTAATTGTTAAGGTCAAGATTTCTGCAGCATGCCGGGTTCCAGGATGAGGTGGAGATGCGCATGTCGAACAGCTTCGAGGCTTGCGGAACAAGCGCCTCACCCTCTCCCGTCATCCCCAAGCAGCACTTCTGGTTGCAAAAGTTGCTTGTCCAGAGAGATGCAGCTGCTCTGGCACGCATCTTGACCAGTGAAAGGAGGTACTGAAGCAACTCCTTGGCCAGGGACAACAAGCGTTTGCCTGGTTGACTGTGACTCTGGCGACGTGGGGTCTAGAAGTTGTGAGTGGGATAGGTGCCCAGGGCAGCGTTGGGGGGTACGGCTGGGTGTGAAAGTCAGCATGCACTCACTTGCTAACTCGTTGTGTGGGGCAGCCCGCCCGTTCTGTGCAAGCCAGGGTTGCTGCACTTTTCTTTGATAGAAGGGGTGCAGAGTTCCGAGCTCTCATGACTTCAGATGTTGGGCGCAGCCATGTCATGTGAAATTGATGTTGGTCTGCTCCCCCATACCTCGGAGGCTATGGACCTCATGGAGGAGGGATTAGTCTCCCGCAACTCGGACACCCGCACAGCTGTCGCCCCAGAAAGTATTGTGAGTCTTCGGGAAAGTGTGCAATATTCTCACGTTGTCTTTTCACTTTTCAGGTGGCCGAAGATCCACCTGGTTTGGTGTCGCAGGCGCACGTGGTAGATGTAGCACATCTTGCAGAAAAGTACGGCATGTCACTGAACTCGTCCAGTCCTGCTAGCACCCCCGTTGTCTTGCTAGAGGCTGTAGGCGTTCTCAGCTCTAAGTCTGGGATGTTGCAGGGTGTTTCCAGAGTCCCTGCCATCTTTTCCCAGAGCTTCAAGTTGAGCAAGAACTCGTAGTGGAGTACAGGAAACATGTTTCGTGAGTACAGCAAGAACTCATAGACTTGAGATTGTTCTACGGCCCGGGAGCCCGCCACAACAACAGACCATGCGGTAATCGCATACTGTCGGAGGCCTACTTGAAAGCCTAAGCAATCTTTCTTTTCAAAAGATATCCTTGCTGCCGAGGTTGTACTGCTGTGCCTGCTGTGCCTTGGGTTGGGACAAGGGACAAGGGAGTTGCGGAGATACGAACACCATCGAACACCATTGCATGCCCAGGCCTTTCCAGGCGGCTCCAGCAGTGCTCCGTGGGAGCTTCAGGGGCCAAAACCAACCAAAAACAACCAAAAACAGCCCCAAACCCGAAAATGACCTGCATCCCCTGTGGAAACGCCTCCAGGGTCTCCATGCACTACGCGCCGAAATGAACGAAAACGGGAGGGGGGGGGGCTGCCGGGGTACCCTTGATACCCTCTCGACGCCTTCCGGCCAAGGCCGAGGCGAATCTTGCAGTCGCAGTCGTCCAGTTTGCGTGGCCGGACAGTTTCTGGGCTTTTCTCGGCCATATTCTTGCCAGAGCTTCATCTCAAGCCGACTTTCGTGGTCAAGGACAGGAAACTTGACTCAGTTGGGTGGGACCTGTGGAGACGGGCTGTTTACATGCGATTGTTCCAAAGGTGCTTACTGGTTGGGAAACTGCCGCGACCCAGACAAAGCCCCCTAGTGCCGGCGCGTCGCGCCTTTGCAACAGACGTGGTGCCGTATGTGGCTCACATGGCTTCAGAGGCTTTGCTAGTTTGTCTTTGCAAGAGGTTCTGGAAGAAGCATCAGTTTTCTTGGGGCGTTGGACGCTTCACTCCAGATTTTCTGGCAAGTCAACGAAATGAAGCCAGCGGGGAACAAGGCCGTTTGAGGATGTTTGAGGTGTTTGCAATGTTTGCGTGACTCGCTGCACTCAACTGCTGATTGGCGGGCTGCTGTACCTTGGGTTGGGGGGGATGCAGAGTTGCCAGCGCTATGCTATGAGTTCAGGTGTTGGGGCGCAGCTGCAGGTTGGATTGTCTTGTTCTCCGGTTGGAGGCGGCCGTGCACCACAACTCTGGGACTTCCTCAGCTGCGGCCCCAGAGAGGACGTCGAGTCCTTGCGGCAAGTCCAAAATTGTCACATATTGGCACGTTTCCCTCGCAAGGCGGAGGATCCACCCGGTCTGGCGGTGCAGGCGGATGTTTGCACCAGTCTCGGAATTCTGTAGAACTGAACTCGTCCAGTCCGGGTGGCGCCTCGATTCCTTGGCTTTATCAGTTTCGGGTCTGGAAATATTGTGGGCCTCTGCATTTGAAGGCAGGGGCTCAGGGTCTCTGCCATACTTTGATAAAGCTTCAACTGGAGCCGACTTTCGTATTGGAGGACATCAAGCTTGACGCAATTGGGTGAGACATGGTGGGACCTGTCATGGAGAGGGTTTGTTTACCTGAGATTGCGCTATGGGGTGCTTGCTGGCTCGGAAATGGCCGCAACGACAGACAACGCGGTTGCCTTTGTGCTTCCGGCGCAGCGCGCCTCCATCAATGGAAGCCATGCCGCCTTAGGCGGGCAAACTAACTGAATCAGAGGTGTACAAGATCGTGTGAGGTGCTTCTGTGACTCGACACACTCACCTGACATGAACAAGTCTATGTCCATGGGCTGGGACAGGAGGTAACGTCGGAATCGGGATGTTGTTTGGTTCCTGGAATTTCTTGAAGGCCGCGCGATTGGTCTCGTCCGCCAACTCCGGGGCATCTTCAGCTGCGGCCCCAGCCAGGACTTGGAATGACTTGGAGTCTTGGGGAAGGTGCGGGTGTTCTCATGTTTCCCGGCCAGGTGGTCGAGGATCCACCAGGTCTGGCTGCGCAGGCACGTGCTTCAGACATAGCGTAGCACATGTTGCCGTCACACAATTGCTGACAAATCTCTCGCATGGTCCCAATGGTTGTACCTGGTAGATTGTAACCAAGAGGGCATCAGAGCGAGCTTGGGAGCGTGCAGGGTCTTTGCGCAGCATCGAGAGTCGAGGGTGCAAATCTGAAGCCAGTAACCAGTCACTTGCTGCTTCATCTATTGGGCAGCCTGCTGGCTTGGCGTGCTGCGCCGTACCATGGGTTGCAACAAGGGCTACCGCCAGAGTTGCGAACGGCATTCCATGGCTTCGCATGTGAGGGCGCAGCTATGATAGGTTTGTTGTGATTGCTCCCTGGAAAACCTGGGAGGTCGCGAGGTTCATGGAGGAGGACCTGGTGTCTGACAACTCGGAGGCATGCTCAGCTGCAGCCCGAGTCTTAGTGCAGGTGTGAGCACTCACGTTCCCTGGCCAGGCTGTGGAGGATCCACCGGGTTTGGCGTCGCAGGTGCGCAGTTCAGACAGCACGTCTTGCAAGCAGCTGCAACAGCAGCAACAGCGCCGGAATTGTGTGTGTGTGTGTGTGTGTGTGTGTCTGAACTCGCCCAGTTTCAGTGGCCCTCCGATTCCTTGGCTCTGTGGCCCCTGCCGTACTTTTCTCAAAGCTTCAAACTGATGCCTCTAGAAGACGCGGGACCTTGCGTGGATTGTTTGCAAGAAGCTTCGGAGGCCTAAGTAGCTTCTCTGAATCAGGAGATCCTGGGAAAAAGTATGAACATAGCTTGTAGGCCGTGCGGTTCATGGAGGAGGGCATGGGGTCCGCCAATTCCGGGGCATCTTCAGCTGCGGCCCCAGCCAGGACTTGGAATGACTTGGAGTCTTGGGGAAGGTGCGGGTGTTCTCATGTTTCCCGGCCAGGTGGTCGAGGATCCACCAGGTCTGGCTGCGCAGGCACGTGCTTCAGACATAGCGTAGCACATGTTGCCGTCACACAATTGCTGACAAATCTCTCGCATGGTCAAAATGGTTGTACCTGGTAGATTGTAACCAAGAGGGCATCAGAGCGAGCTTGGGAGCGTGCCGGGTCTTTGCGCAGCGTCGAGAGTCGAGGGTGCAAATCTGAAGCCAGTAACCAGTCACTTGCTGCTTCATCTATTGGGCAGCCTGCTGGCTTGGCGTGCTGCGCCGTACCATGGGTTGCAACAAGGGCTACCGCCAGAGTTGCGAACGGCATTCCATGGCTTCGCATGTGAGGGCGCAGCTATGATAGGTTTGTTGTGATTGCTCCCTGGAAAACCTGGGAGGTCGCGAGGTTCATGGAGGAGGACCTGGTGTCTGACAACTCGGAGGCATGCTCAGCTGCAGCCCGAGTCTTAGTGCAGGTGTGAGCACTCACGTTCCCTGGCCAGGCTGTGGAGGATCCACCGGGTTTGGCGTCGCAGGTGCGCAGTTCAGACAGCACACTTTGCGCTCGTCCGGGGCAGCCCACCCGTTTCGTCAAGGCAGGCTGTAGCTTGCTTTGCGACGGTGTGAAGAGCTACCAGCGCCATGCCATCACTTCAGATGCCGTGTACTTACAGGATATTGGTATGTCGTACACTGTACTGATTGCTCCCCGGAATTCCTGGAATGGAGGCCGTGCTCATGGAGGAGGGCGTCGCATGTGACAGCTCCAGGGCGTCCTCTGCCGCGGCCTCGGAGCTCGGAGAGGACTTCGAGCCTTCGGGGAAGATAGGTGGTGTTGGGTTCTCATGCCTGGCCAGGTGGGGGAGGATGCATCAGACCTCACCCCGCAGGCGCACGTTTCAGTTATTCTTAACAACTGCTCGCCGCGGTCGCAGCTCTTAGCCAAGCAGCAGCATTCCAAGGAGAACTTCGACAAAAACAGCGTAGAATCGTTCAAGATCTTTGTGCAAGCAGCGCGTGGACAGTGTGAAGTGCAGGCTCTAAAGCCAGCATACACTCACTTATACTCACTTGCTGATTTGTTTGTTTGGGCAGCCCACCCTTCTCGTGCAAGCCAGGGCTGCTATACTTCGGGTAGGGGCACTGGTAACGCCAGAGTTGCGATCATATTTTGAGCGCAGCCTTTCTGATTGCTCCGCAAAACAGCTGGGATGTTGTTGGATGTTGTTGTGATTGCTCCCCGGAATATCGTAGAGGCGGCGTCGGCGTGCTGCGAGGAGGGCCTCGACTCGAATAGGTCCGAGGCTTCCTCAGCTGCGCCCCAAGAGAGGCTTTCATGCCTTCGGGAAGTTGCAGGGTTCTCATTGTTTGCGTGGCCAGGTCGGGGAGGATCCGCCGGGCCTCGCGCCACAGGCGCAACAGGCTGGCGAAAGCCTGCGGCCAACAGTGAAAGCCGTAGGCCTTCCAGTCGCTCCTGCACATCCCGTTGCGCCTCCGCCACTCGCTGGCCGTTGACGAGGCGCATGCAATTCTGGCAACAGTTGTGTACCGCACCGAGCCATGTCCGAAGGATTCCAGCCCGGATCTGGAGACAGGGCTGCCGGAGGCGCTTCAGCGCCCCAGGGCCCCAGCAATCCATTCTCGGGGTGCCGTACTGCCAGGCTTCTGGAAGACTCTCTCCGGCTTCGCCGGAAATGCGCCTCCGCCGCGTGAACTTGCCCTGGCGATTTTGGCGCGGCTTCCTTTGGTTCCCACAGCGCTACGAAGAGACCAAAGCGCGAGGCCGACTGTAGCTGAGCCACGATGTCACCGCTACAGTACTTTACAGGCATTCAGGGCATCCACAAGTGTACAAAATGTTCCGAAGCTGCTGTAGACTGTAATTAGAGCACATGTGCTGTATGTATAACTTCTACTATAACTTCTATATGTAAAATCATTTGTTACACTGAGCATCAGAGGCGTGTTCTGTACATTGGAGGACGTCCATAGTGTGCGGTGTTGTGGAGCTGGGCTGGCAGGTTGCTGCGCAGGTCGCACCCCAATCTCCGGAGCCTCCCTGGCCTCCTCAATTTCCTCCGGATCCCCATGACAGCGCCGCGAGCTCAGTTGGAGGAAGCGCCTCTCCAAAAAGTCGAGATTGCAAACTGCAGCCTGGATGGGGTTCGGGCCTAGATCGCCGGCTGAAGCTGGATATGACAAGAAAAGCCTTGGATCAAGGACCCCTGAAAGGTTTTCGCGCACTCTGTGGACATGTGGCATGCGTCCATGAGAGCTTAGGAGCAACAGTTGCATCCTTGGCGTTCAGTCACTACCGTTTTGCCAGGAGCTATACGATTCAGAAGCTACATTGAAAGAAGCTGCCGAAGCAAATCCCACATCAACAGAAGCAGGAAACGGAGAGTTCTAAACAGGCTCAGCTCCAGCGAGCGGTGGCGCTTTCAGCTGGCACGAGCTTTTGTGGACAATCCACACATTCTGGCGAAAAACCGTCCAGTGCAAGAGCTGGACGATACGAGACAGACCGTGGCCTGCATACAGGACTTTGTGCAACGACGGGGTTGGGAGGTGGAAACTGATGACATTCACGTCCAGCAACGCCGTCCACGTACCATCATCTTTACCACAGGTAGCTCCGGGCACATTGACATTGCAGACTATGTGATACTATGTGTGGCGCCTCGGGGCTGACACACGTGTGGTGGTGGAGAAAACTCTGCATACAAGGCCCTCCAAACAGCCCTTCCCACGCCAGCTCTTGCCATGCAGATGGGATCACCATTCTGTATTTAGTGGCACAGACTGGTGTGTTGCAAGTTGTTGGTTGAGCGAAGCAACGGCCAGGTGGGCGCTGAAAAGTGAGCGATTGCATTTAGGGCATAGAGCTGCGGTTTAGTATTGGAATGGTTCTGTTTTACGCTGGGGCCAAGGTTGCTGGGGCCCGTGGCCAACGCGCTCAAACGAGATCACTTCATGTATACCAGAAGTCGCCCGAAGATTTCGGTTGAGGCAATCGAGGCTAGGGACCAGAGACTGAGATGCAGAAACTAGGCCTTGCATGACAAATGCAGGCCACCAATGCCTTCACTCACAAAGCAACTCGTGGAGTTAAGGCCATGACATCCAGGGTTGAATCATGATTTGGCATTGGCCTCGTGAGTCGGTTCAAACTTGGCATGTCCATTGCCCTTCGAGTCAGGCATCCTCCGGTGACCTTCTTGCTGCAAGTGTTGTTGTGCACCGCACGCGAACCATTACGAACACGTCTTTCAACTCAGGCATACCGGTCCTTATAATTAGCGCAGCCCTGACAGAATTTGCGAAGCCATGGAGTCTGCAGTGTCGCCTGCTTCGTGATTTTTACCTGCGGTGAACAGGGTGGTGTTGTGAGTTCTCGGGGCGGTAAGCATTTGCCACTGGATGAGCGGTTTGTGCCGAGATGGATTGGGGAGCGGGGCCTCTTGGAATGGAGGTCCTCGTGTCAGAGCTGGTGGGCTCATGTGGGCTCAATAACACAAGCGACGTCAATTGCAACTCTTACCAGAAATCGGCTGATACACGAATCGTCAGAGGTCACTCGAGTCTTGGTGGACCGCTTTGAGCGGGACGCTGATGTTTCTGGATCTGCGTCTGAGCACCTTTGAACCTTTGCTGTGTATAGACTTCCTTGATGGCGCGCCGGGAAGTAATCCCTCGAGTCTATCTTTGCCACTTCCAGCCCTCCTGGCAAGAATGAGCCTCGGCTAGACAAGATTATGCCTCTTCGACACACGACTTTAGGCCTGAGAGGGGCTCAAACTCAAGGCGTGCCAAACAATCCACAGGATTCCACTGTCGAATGATGTAGGGGTGTACATCTTGCTTCCAGCTGTGTATAGCTGGAGACGTTAGGTACCCTAGCCATCCCTAGCCCTTTCTCGGTGGTCCACCTGGACTCGAAGTATGATCTCAGGCGCTTTGTCAGGTTTGCAAGGGTCTCGTCTCGGTAAAGCTTGGGCTTGTTGGGCCTTCGGAGCTGAAGTGAGCCGAAATGCCGTTTTGGCGGTTCTAGACCCTGGCACTGAAGCCGCATGATCATAGGCGCATGCGCTGGTAGCAAAAGGGCAGCCTGAAGAGCTAAGCAGGGCTAAGCCTAAGCTGCCTAGGGCCTAGACTTTCTGTTAAAGCCGGAGCCCAGTGACGATTGAAGCCCTACTCCGAGGTAGAACCTACGGCACCTGGAAAGGATCGCGTGGACACCCTCTACCTGGCAGTGCCTCGAGGCCGATGGGGCCTTTGGGGCCTTCCCAGGCTGTAGAATGGTTTGAGGATGTGTTGATGGGCAGCTTGCCAGGTTGCGCCCTCGCAGCTGCGGATCGTGAGCTCAACCGGCTCCAACATGAGCCTCAATCTCAATCCAGGGATGGGGAGGTCGTTGGCTGCAGCGGGTGTTCTGGACGGCTGGACTTGCGAAGATCTGCTGTCAGGTGGATCTTTGGCGTCCAACGTCCAGACAACTCCGCCGCAGCCGTTGCTCAACAGGCTGGAGTTGCCGTACAGATTGCCTGCTCTTGCAGGATCGAGGGGGTTAAGCCGACCCGAGCTGCTTTGCAGGCTGCTTCCACTGATCGAGGCGCGTTCGGCTCATGTGTACGTGTATCGTGTGCACTCTGCGAGCATAACGCATGTAGCGAATGTAGCGCCTCAGGCATTCTTCCTACTTCACAACGGCTCGAAAGAAGCTGACATCGAACAGAAAAGGACAATATGATGATGCTTTGTATTCAGCTGCATTCGGTATTGCGCCAGCATCGTGCATATCACCTTCTATGAACAGGGGATAAGTATCAAAGAATCAAAAAATGGTCAGCAACAATCAAATGAGGGTAAAGCACCAAGTCAAAGAGGGATAACAAGAAATCAAGTATTCACACAGGAGAATAGCTATTGCTTCAGATTTGGGGTTGAAAAGCTGTAAACAAACTGCAAATCCCTCGAATTATCATCTATCTATACATTGAAGGAAGGACGGGGTGAAGGAGGAAAGGAAGAAGGGAATGAAGGGAGGAAGGAAGAAAACGGAAGATTGCGCACTGACAGTTGGTTTCTGTATGCTTGTATCGTGGCTGCGCCCCCTCAATCCCTCGACTCTTTCTTTTTCATTCATGCTTCGCCAGACAGCAGCATCATCTCCAGCCCATGCGTGGTGCCACAACTGCGCACCCGCCCCCCTAAGCTTCTTGCAACGGTACCTTCCGGAAATGGCCGAATATGAGAGAAGTCAAGGGAGTTCAGATGATTTTGCAGCATCGGCATCGGAATTGGTTCATGGAACATAGTTGCAACCTTTGTACGTGAGTGCCAAAACCGCTGGCGTCCAATGCAAGTCCGACAGTCCGTGTTCGCATTTTGCTAACTTATACTGCTGTGCAGATGTCCGCTGTGGCCCATGCTCAAATTGGGTAATGGGTATTCTCGTTGACAAGTCCGCGGCATGTAGCACAATGACATAGAACATGCCAGCATGAAGAGTGTCTGAAGCCGGAGGAAGCAAAGGCCGCCAAAAAGACAGCTGAGGTGGCTGAATGTGTTCTTGCAGACCTTGTTCTTTGTGGCGTTTAAAATCCTGTGCTTGAGGAAGCCGACAGCCAGAGACAACTCCAGGTGCGAAGTGATGCGCGTGATCTACGACGTAAGTGGAGTTGGCAGGGCTGAAACCTTCGAGGACCCATGGTCGCTCCCAAACCAGCTCCTGTTGCAGCGGGCTCGGTGAGAGCATTTCATTAAGTGATGTCCGAAAGGGGCGGGCGGTGCCAGCAAGCATGCAAGGAGACTTGGCCAGAAGATGGCAGTTGCAACAGCAGAACAGCATGAGTTTGAGGTCGGGCTTTCGCTAGAGATCACTCACATGCCATGCGAAATAGAGTTTACTGCACCAGGGCACTTTTTTCCGCTATGCCAGCCATGCCCTCACACTCAAGCCGGGTCCTTTCGCTGCTTAAGCAATGCTATCTCTTGCTGCAGTTTTGTGCGACAGCTGAGGTATGTTCGTTTGTTTCTTCGTAAGGGAGGCTGCTACAAGGTGCGCTGGGCTGCGGTGGTTTATGCTGTGCTGGGATTGCTACACATTTACTGGCGAGGAGGCTGCCTACCTCGACACTGAGTGCAGCATCGAGCCTGAGGAATGCCGGCAATGCCAAGCTGCATGCTTTCGTATGCACGTTGCGGTCAGGTTATCGACCACGTGAGGTTCATCGGGCAGGCGCCTGTGTTCACGGAGTCTGTCTGGCTGGTTCCCAGCATGTGGAATGCGATGCGAAGGGGTCTCCTTTGAAGTTTTTCGGGTCCGAGTGTTTCATAGTGACAGTGACATCGACAATTTGTTGCTGCGTTTGCGAAGCATATGCGAGTGTCTGGACAGACGTCACTTGTGGCCGATCAAGCATTGTGACACTGGCAGTCCGGTTGTACTTGGCGAAATCCATTCGCACCGAGCCGAAGCTACGGAGTGTTTGGCGGGTGTTCTCTTCGCCCGCGGGGTATCCCCGCAGAAAGAGTCCCTGCAGTGCCCAAACCCAAGAACGCCTGCGCCCAACCGCAAAGAACCCCTGCCGTGCGCAAGCCCAGAAAGGCAATTATCAGGCTAGTGTACACAATTGATCCGCCTTCGTGCTGAAGCAAGAAGAGGGTCTCCACCTGCTCTTGACTAAACAATCACAAATCTCTTTTACTTCTGCAAGAATGGAGACTTTTGCACACTTTTATATCCACCACGAGCAACACAATCTACCTTTCCTACGAAGATTTGAAAGAGTTGTCTGCTCCTTGACAAGTTCTTTCTTCCCCATTGATGAAGAGCTCTTCTTGCGTCAGTTCGTCGCACTTGAGTTTGTTGCACTTACGCCGTGCACAACGCCATTTTGCCCCCAAAGACTCCTTTACAAGTCCTTTGCGGAAGCCATGGCTAGTTGTTTGTTGTCCCGGGTGATAATTGTTTCCTTCGGTAGCTGGCGATTGGACTTGAACCTTCGTGTGCCTAGCGACCTCTGTTCATACGCTTGCAAGCGTCGTGCTTAAACTTCAAGCCCAGTCATGTCTCAACAACAGGGAGGGGGGAGAAGTGTATTTCAGTAGGAAAGGAGGGAAGAAGTAAGATGCTGTGAAAGAGCTAGTCAATGAAAACAACACATTCGAAGAAATTGTGAAGGAAAGCAGCCCCAAAGTTCTCCATGAAGAAAGAAGAAAGACAAGTTCATTCTCAATAGATTGCGCTTAACATCTGGATCTAAAGAGTTTGTTCATCAAACGGCGTTTTGGGGGGCATAGCACATGATTGATGCAACTCTTAGACTTAGGCTCATCTTGTCTTCTTAGGAACATATTCCGAGAGCCAGTTCTAGTTGTTTACAAACAGAAACTAGGTAGCTTCTCTGCCTTGGTCGGTGCACTGCCGGATGGAGCACTGCATTTCGGAAGTCACTGCTGGGCATTTGTCAGATTCAACTTGGTGCGCACAATGTATGGACAAGAGACGTTCTTTTGGTGGCTTGTGGAAATGCAAGCGCTTGTTTCCGTTTCTGGAGCCATCGAAAGCAGTGCTTGAGCTTTATGACAAACTGCATTCCGAAAGTGCAGTGTCGAAGGCGGCCTCGTTGTCATCGATCGGCGTCCACACTGGGGAACTGCATTCCCTAGAGTACATCTGGTGGCCT